CCTCCTCCTCCTCCTCCTCCTCCTAGATAGTCTACCTACGCCCCTCTGCCTCCGTTCCTTATGCTGTTTGCTCTCTGCCACGCAACTCTCGGGCATTGTCTTTGTGTGCGGGGCGTGGAAGGAGGAGGAGGAGGAGGGAAGGAAGGAGCAGGAGGAGGAGGAGGAGGGAAGGAAGGAGCAGGAGGAGGAGGGGGGAAGGGGGAAGGAGGATGATAAGGAGGAAGAGGAGGGAGGAGAAAAAGGAGAAAGAGGAGGAGGAGGAGAAATTCGAAATTGTGTTTTCGAGCGTTTGATGATCATGGTGATTTGCATAATAGATGTGTGTGTCCTGTGTTGCTTTAATTTGCGCGTGCGATTGCTGAATTGGCCGGCGTCACGAGTCCGTGGCATGGCTGAATGCGTGGATAAGTCGCGCGGTTTATTATTGTTTTTTTTCTGTTTTCGCGCCGAAGGATCGCGGAATTTGACATTTTCTTGAGAAAGTTTTTTTTCTGGAAGAATATCCTTCGCTATTTCCGTAACTCGAACCGATCTCCGAAGCGAGCGAACCAGCGAGGCGGTTCCGACGGCCGAGGGAACCGCCTGCGCCCGGGGACTTCCGCCCCGCCGACGTGCGCTCGTCTCGAGGCGTCGTCGGGGCCGCAAAGGTTGTGTCTGCGCGTGGGACGCTGACGGCGTGACCCCTGCCCCCACCCCGCCCATGCCCCCTACCCCTTTGTGCCCCTCGCACCCCCTGTGCCCCGCCCTCACTCGTACGGCTTCCGCAGGCCCAGGAATGGAGGCAGCTCTTCTCTCGCGGTGATGGTGGTGGGCGGCCGGCCTTCCCCGGCACCCACCCCCGTGCTGGGACCCCCGCCCATCCGCGCCTACTGCATGGGGGGGACGTGGCACCACTACCACCACCATCAGCAGCAGCACGCCAGCTCCACCCCCGCCACGCCCATGGCCGCCCAGACGCCCACGCTTCCGCACGGACCGTCCCCCCTCGTGCGCTCCGGCTCGGTGCCTGGCGAGGCGGCGGGGGGGGCGGGGGAGGCGGACGACCAGCTGCCGCCCCTGCGCCCGCCGCGCGCCCCCGACGCGGAGTCGCTCGGCGCGGGCGTGGGCGTGGGCGGCCGCGGCATGTCCCGCTCGGTGTCCGACTCCACGCTGCGGCAGGCGGCGTCGCGCGCGGCGCTGCACCTTCCCCTCCCTGTCACCTCCCTCATGCACTTCAAGGTACACGCGGCTCGCCCGAACCCGCACGCGCACTCTCGCCCAGTGAACACACTCACACTCACACTCACACTCACACTCACACTCACACTCACACACACACACACACACACACACACACACACACACACACACACACACACACACACACACACACACACACACACACACACACACACCATTCAGTAGGCGGCTAACGCATACACACAGTACACCTCCCCACTGAATTGTGCACATTAAACACACACCTTCCTCTTTTCAGGCTTTTTGTACGAGATTCGCACCATTTTCCCGTTCCATTTTTTGTCTTTGTTTGTTTGTTAATTGTTCTTGCTGCTCTGATGATTGTCTTTAGACCTGACCCACTTTTTTTCCTCATTGTATTTCCATGTGCCAAGGAAAATCTGGCATAAGTTCATAACACGTTATATTTATATTAATGAGGATTTTGATGCATGCATGGCCCGCAACTCTTGTTTCCTTTTTCATTTCTTTTTTTTTATCGGAAGTATGAGAGTAACGTGAAAACAGGTACCTAGAAAAAGAAAAATAGAAAAGAGTAACCATTAACCGCGGTTCTGCGGTTTAAAAACAGGTGAGAGTGAAAATGATCATTCAGTCATTCACATTACTATTTTTACCAAGACATTCTTTTCGTCTATGGTGCAACAGCTGGAGGGAAATCATTGTTATTCAGAAAAAAGAAAGTTGTTTGTGTATTTTTAATAGGGTAATGATAGTATGGTTAGGTTCATGAAAATGAAAGCAAGAATGAAGTATAGGGACTCTTAGTGTAAAGGAAATATGGACACTTGCTGCTAAGGGAACATTCATATAAAGCTGGTTATTTCCATTCATTTATCCATTTTTTTTTCTCAAAAGGTTAGGAAAAAAGGTAGAAACAAAGATGGATAACTAGAAGAAAAGAGAAAATGAGAATAGAAATGCCAAGGAAATTGTACCCATGTTGTGAAAGGTTCTTGAACGCGTCCGACTTCCTACTTTCAAGTTTTTTTTTCCGGTTATATTTCTCATTCTCTCTCTTTCTCTCTCTCTGTCTCTTTCATTTTCCGTTTTCTTTGTCTGTTTGGTTTAATTGTAATGGGTTAATGTTTATGATGATTGGGTTTTTACTGTTGCTTATTTTGTTTGATTTTCCATAGTTTGTTTTCTTGTTTTCCTTATTTATTGCCATTATTATTATATTATTATTATTATTATTATTATTATATTATTATTATTATTATTATATTATTATTATTATATTATTATTATTATTATTATTATTATTATATTATTATTATTATTATATTATTATTATTATATTATTATTATTATTATATTATTATTATTATTATATTATTATTATTATTATTATATTATTATTATTATATTATTATTATTATTATTATATTATTATTATTATATTATTATTATTATATTATTATTATTATTATATTATTATTATTATTATTATTATTATTATATTATTATTATTATATTATTATTATTATATTATTATTATTATTATATTATTATTATTATATTATTATTATTATATTATTATTATTATTATATTATTATTATTATATTATTATTATTATTATTATATTATTATTATTATTATTATTATTATATTATTATTATTATTATTATATTATTATTATTATATTATTATTATTATATTATTGCCATTATTATGATGATTATTATTGTTGTTGCTATTTTATCATTTTTATTGTCATTTTTATTACTACTATCATTGTTATTTTGAATGTTATTACGATTGTTATTGTTATTATTTTTATTATCATTATTATTATTATTATTGTTATTGTTATTATTATTATTATTATTATTATTATTATTATTATTATTATTATTACGTGGACAAGTCATATGCATAATGTACTCACTGTACACTTGATTTTTTTTTTTATTAACAAAACCTTTTTATGAATATCTATCATATACCTATTTTGAAACTTTCTAACTGCATACCTCCTACAGTTATCCAATAGACAGAAAAAAAAGAAAAAAGACAAGACAGAAAGGGAGAAGAGAAAAAAAAACAAAAAACAAAATAGGAGGGGGTCGAAAGAAGAAGATAATAATGATAAGGAGAGATAAGAGAGAGGAAGGCAAGAAGTTGCATCTCCCAGAGGGAACAATTTGCCGGTTCGCGATGGTGTTCCCGGCGCTCTATGCTGAGACTGATAACCTCCTGCCGTCATTATTATCTCAGTTTTCGCTTAACGTTGCTTTTCTTTCTACTTTTTTTTTTTTTTTTTAGTTGTTGTATTTAGTTTTTTTGTGTTTTTGGGTCTTTTGTGTTTTGGTTTTTTAGAAGATGGGGTGAGATTTTTTCGGTTTGTGTTTGAGTATCTTTATATTTTTTTCCTTTTTTTTTGGTGTTCTTATTACTATACTATTAGTTTTTCGTTTTTTTTTTTTTTCAAGGACAGATTTCGACCCAGAGAGAGAGAGAAAAAAAAATAAGAGAACCATTTCAAGTCAACAAATAAGGGGGAAAAAAAGACTATATTGACCGATAACACGTTAATGGATTTCGAACTTGGCTTCAAGAGCACACAAAAAAAGGCAAAACTTTAAGGTGTTGATTCGGTCATTAGTGAAATTTTAACTCAGGAAGACCATTAAGTGTTGTATGCTTACCCCACCCCCCTCTCTCCCTCTCTCTCTTTTCATTTTCTTTTTCTTTGTTTCTCAAACTCGCCTTTATATTTTTTTTCGCTTATGAATTGTGGTAAATTGTATTTTAATGACGGAATAAATTACACACACACACACACACACACACACACACACACACACACACACACACACACACACACACACACACACACACACACACACACACACACACACGAGAATCCCATATGCATATTCTGTATACCTACTTCTGAGTTAATAAGAGTGTATATAATTGTTTAAGTATTATAATCTGGTTGTGATTTATAAAAAAAAAAAAAATGTACATTATGTTGTAGTCTGTACCTATTTTTAAGTTAAAAGTGGAGATAATTGTAATGACATATGAGATAAATTTGCATAAAGCCAGTTGAAAAAGGCAGAAAAGGCTCCTGATGTCATTTCTAAAAGCTTTAGTGTTTGAGGGAGAGGGACCTTGAGGATCCTGTATTTCTTGTATGCCAAGGGAATCTCTGAGTGAATTGTCCATTTTAGTTCAAGGTTACATGAAATGGGAAAGTCAGTGCAGGAATTCATTTCTGGTCATGTCTTGAGCTTGGATAGAGAATGGAAAAGGAAATTGTGTGGAATTTATTTCTCTCTTTCTCTTTTTCTCTTTTTCTTTCTCTTTCTCTTTTCCTTTCTCTCTTTCTCTCTTTCTCTCTCTCTCTCTCTCTCTCTCTCTCTCTCTCTCTCTCTCTCTCTCTCTCTCTCTCTCTCTCTCTGTCTCTCTCTCTCTGTCTCTCTCTCTCTCTCTCTCTCTCTCTCTCTCTCTCTCTCTCTCTCTCTCTCTCTCTCTCTCTCTCTCTCTCTCTCTCTCTCTCTCTCTCTCTCTCTCTCACTCTCTCTCTTACTCTCTTACTCTCTCTCGCTCTCTCTCTCTCTATCCTCATTCCTTACAAGCCAGAAAACCCACACAGAAAAAAAATAAAGATAAATATGGTCAAACCTTACAAAAAATGATTGAGGACAATTTTTTATTTTTTTTATTAAATGAACATTAGACCTTAAGCCACACACCCCATAGCACCATCCACTAACGCAGTCTTTTTTTTTCTCTTCCGCCCCCACAGAAGGAGCTGAGTCTGGTCAGGCGGGGGAACAGAGTGCCTGGCCAGAGGAAGAGCTTTATAGCCACAACTTCCCCGACTCTGCCCCGATGCCACTCTCCACTAAGTCAAAGTACGTGAGGAGTTGATTTTTTTCTTGTGTTTGTTTATTGGTTTGTTGGTATTGTTATTGTTTTTGTAATGGTTAGTGTGATAATGATAATAAGGATATTGATAGGTATGAATATGAGAATGATGATTATTATTATGATGATTGTTATTATCTTTTGATTGATATCATTATCTTTATCTCATTATTGTAGGTTTTATTCAAGATTTTGTACAGTTTTTTCTACTATTGACTTTACAAAATGATATTAAATTTATTTAGAAAAAACAGTTTTTATCAAGCTGAGATCCTTAGCAAAGGAAGTAGGATTAATTTCTTTTTCTGTTTGTAATAATTGTAGTGATGTGTTTTTTTATGAGTAATTAATTACCTTTATTGAAGATTGGGAATTACATAACTTCACTTAAACTGATTACTCGAAATTGGATTGGAATGACTTATCCTTTTTTTCCCTCTCATTTCTGTATATTCACTTCCTTCCATAATGTCATTTTATGATTAGAACGTTTTCAGTATTAGGGATTACCGGTGACTGCTGGTTTCATGATGGAATTGAAAATATGATGTTTGGAGCTTCTGTTTATATTTTTCTTCATGCTGAGATATTTACTGTATATGAAATGAAATAGCTATTAAATCTTTGCTTTGGTATTTTTCATTTCCTTGCTGCATCTAGTGTTTCTCCTTTTTGTTTCTTTATAATCTACTTCCTCTAATTCTTTATCATTTTCTCTATCTTTGTAATCATCATTGAATACCTGCTTCCTCTTCTTTCCCCTCCCTTTTTTCTTTTCAGTTTCTTTTCTTTTTGTCTTCCCCTTTTCTTCTTTCTCTGCTCTCTATTTAGTGTACGTTGCTCTCCATTTAGTGTACGTAAACTAACGTCCATGTCCGTTCCGCACACCAGGTAGTCCTATGGAATCCCCGAGGAACATGTCTCCTCTACAACACTTTGCCTTCGCTCCTGTCAAGAGTAGAGATGGGCGCAGGTGGTCCGTTGCTTCCCTTCCCTCTTCAGGATACGGCACAACTCCTGGATCGTCAAATGTTTCTGTGTGTATCTGGACCGACTGTGTGTTGTTTGTGTGAATTATATGTACATTGTCTAGAGAGAAGTAAACTTTTTTGAAAGATCTGTCAATTCAATGAATGTAGATGAAATTGTTACTCAAATTGGATTCTGGTTTAGTGGAAATGGCAAAGGTAACACAGTACTTCATACTGGCTTCTTTAAAGTGAAAGTTATTGTATGATAATCTAAAAAGTACCGAAAGATACACACACCCTTGCAGCAAGCTCTCTCTAACTGAAGTCTCATCTTGCAGTCCCAGTGTTCCAGCCAAGAGCGCCTCCACCAGATTGGGGGGGGAGGAGCAGGTGGTGCAGGGAGTGGTGCCATGGGGCCAGGGAACCTCTCCAATACAAGCTCTCCCGCCGTGGAGGAAGTCCGACACTCCCATATCCGCCACTTCTCCTCAGGGGAAAGCAACCCCTCGATCGACGATGACGGAAGGCGCTCCCCAATGAACAGACCTCGTTCCCGATCCCTCAGGTAAGGGTCTCCGCGGTGTTTGCTTGCACTGCATTGTGTTTATTGATTCATCTCAGGTTTATTTATCTGCCCCCCTTTTTTTTTTATATCTCTTATTATTTTTTGCGTTACTTTCATGATCTCTGTACTTGATTCCAATTTGAGAACCTGCCCTTTTATGTTTGGATGAGCGTTCCTAGATGGAAAAAAAAGGAGAATTAGGGAAACAGTTTAGCTGAAAGAACAGTGCTTTTTGACAGTCAGTGATTGTTTTAGACAATACTGTGACTTTGCATTGCAAGTTAATTGATGAATGTAAGTACTGGGAAAAAATACAGTTATCTAAATATTTCCCTTCACTTGTACGATGAACTGGGTTTCTAGCTTTTGCTAAAAAAAAAAAAAAAAAATGCATTATTAACTTTTTTGATATTGTTTCTTTAATTTAAATTTTCATGATGAATGGTTTTCTTATTCCTACAACATGCCAGATGTAACCCACAAAATATTTTACCATGTGATGCCATCAATTAATTTAAAAATGAAGACCCTAGTAGAAGAAATTAATCATAGTAAATAAGGATGTAGTTATGTTTTTTTTTTTTAATAGAATCTGTAGACCTTAGTCCCTGTGAACAATTCACAATGTCTTATCTGTCTGTGGATGTTTGGAGAGTCCTGTTAGTACTAAAATCTGAACTCCACAAAACAGAGAGGAGTAGAATTACCTTTGTGATAGAAATGTGCTGTCAGGTGCTTGACATGTCATTATTTTATTTTTTTTGCTAATCATGAGACTGCACTACAAACATTCTAACTGATCTAGAATTACCCCCCCAAAAAAAAGTTGTTTGAATATCTTTTTTGTAATAAGACCCTTTCCCAAAAAGTGTTTTATGTATTTATTATGATTATTCTCTTTAATGATGAATATATGCCTTTTTCCCCCCCCAATTCCGTAACTGACGTGTAGAACTTCCATCCAGCCTGCAACCCAAGAATATTTTTGATAAATTTCTCTCACTCTTTCTCTGTCTCTCTCTCTCTTTCTCTCTTTCTCTCTTTTTATCACTTTCCCAGTTGAGAAATATTGAGTATAAGCCAAATGTGGGTTACAGTAACAGAAAAGCAGGTAATGGAAACCGTTTCAAAATCCAGTTGAAGTTTATTGCATTCTCTCTCATTTAGTCTATACTGATTGTCTTTTGTGAAGAAAAAAAACATTTATTACATTAGTAAATAAAGTATTAAAAAAAAAAGATGTGCTTAGCATTAGTTTCAAAATGTGATTAGATTAAAATGCTTTTCACAGCAAATATTTGTATATAAAATCTACTCAAATACAGATTCTGATTTTGATGTCTTTTTGTGTGAAGTTTTTAGGTTGTTTTTTAATGAGTTTTCTGTGCCACAGCATATGGAAAGCTCCTTTTCCAGATGAGCAAATTATATGCAGATTTAAAGATGCATCAATATGCTTAACAAGCTGATAATATTTGCTGCTTTTAGTAGCACAAGAACACATTTGTTATTATAAGTTTTTGTCAACGAGTAATTTTGTTCTTCGTTTTTTTGTTTTTCTTCACTTTGTGCGGCTCTAGTCTGGCCTGGCTGTGCATCTCCACACTTGAGTAAGATATCAGACTCACATCCTCTCTCTCACCTTACTCCTTAGCCGAGATTCTGCCGTCCCAACAAAGTGGCTTTGCTCTACCTACACTTTTGATTTTCCTTTTCCGTTTGATTCTTTGAAATACCGTTTTTTCCACCTTATTTTTATGTTTTGGTATATTTAAATGGGAAGCACCAAACCTTGCTTTACTGCTGCTGAATTGGCTGTATCACTGTTTATATATATGTATGCATATACTGGTATATATACACACATGCACATGCACACTGAGTTCGGACGCCAAAATTGGACACATGTTTTTTGCTGTTGCACATTACTAAAGACATGAGTCTTAGAAGAGGAATGTGTTATGCGTATCTTAAGAATTACATGTGCTTATAGTTGTTAAAGGATGTAGGTAAACTAGCTATCAGCATGATGTATTTTGTTATTTTTGTAGTGTTATGTGTGTGTTTGTGTGTGTCTATACACAAATACATGTATATATATATAACCATACAATTTAAAGATATATTGCATAACACCTCTTTGAATCTCCAGCTGAATGACTTATAATACATTTATGAAACTTTCATTATGTGTCATTGTATGGGAATAAGGTGTTTAATTATATGCCTGAAAGTAGATGATATGTATATGTATGTGTGCATGTGTTCAGAGGTAATCAGTACAAAAAAAAAAAAATTATCACTTTCCCAGTTGAGAAATATTGAGTATAAGCCAAATGTGGGTTACAGTAACAGAAAAGCAGGTAATGGAAACCGTTTCAAAATCCAGTTGAAGTTTATTGCATTCTCTCTCATTTAGTCTATACTGATTGTCTTTTGTGAAGAAAAAAAACATTTATTACATTAGTAAATAAAGTATTAAAAAAAAAAGATGTGCTTAGCATTAGTTTCAAAATGTGATTAGATTAAAATGCTTTTCACAGCAAATATTTGTATATAAAATCTACTCAAATACAGATTCTGATTTTGATGTCTTTTTGTGTGAAGTTTTTAGGTTGTTTTTTAATGAGTTTTCTGTGCCACAGCATATGGAAAGCTCCTTTTCCAGATGAGCAAATTATATGCAGATTTAAAGATGCATCAATATGCTTAACAAGCTGATAATATTTGCTGCTTTTAGTAGCACAAGAACACATTTGTTATTATAAGTTTTTGTCAACGAGTAATTTTGTTCTTCGTTTTTTTGTTTTTCTTCACTTTGTGCGGCTCTAGTCTGGCCTGGCTGTGCATCTCCACACTTGAGTAAGATATCAGACTCACATCCTCTCTCTCACCTTACTCCTTAGCCGAGATTCTGCCGTCCCAACAAAGTGGCTTTGCTCTACCTACACTTTTGATTTTCCTTTTCCGTTTGATTCTTTGAAATACCGTTTTTTCCACCTTATTTTTATGTTTTGGTATATTTAAATGGGAAGCACCAAACCTTGCTTTACTGCTGCTGAATTGGCTGTATCACTGTTTATATATATGTATGCATATACTGGTATATATACACACATGCACATGCACACTGAGTTCGGACGCCAAAATTGGACACATGTTTTTTGCTGTTGCACATTACTAAAGACATGAGTCTTAGAAGAGGAATGTGTTATGCGTATCTTAAGAATTACATGTGCTTATAGTTGTTAAAGGATGTAGGTAAACTAGCTATCAGCATGATGTATTTTGTTATTTTTGTAGTGTTATGTGTGTGTTTGTGTGTGTCTATACACAAATACATGTATATATATATAACCATACAATTTAAAGATATATTGCATAACACCTCTTTGAATCTCCAGCTGAATGACTTATAATACATTTATGAAACTTTCATTATGTGTCATTGTATGGGAATAAGGTGTTTAATTATATGCCTGAAAGTAGATGATATGTATATGTATGTGTGCATGTGTTCAGAGGTAATCAGTACAAAAAAAAAAAAGTGCAATATTGCATTACATGATCTGGTGTTAAGGAATGATTATATATTATGTAAATTGTCATTAAATAATAATGATTATCATAAATTAACCATCAGGATAGAAGTGTATTGAATGCATGTTTTTTTTAAGTTTGAGTAAGAAAAAGGGATATTTTAGAGATCTTGGGGAATAAGTATTTGTACGACTTAGAGTTGAGGGATAGCAATAAATTTTTTAATAAGTATATTTGTATATAAGAAAATATGCAAGTCAGATAGTCAGGTTTTACACTGGGATGTATGTATGTGCGGCCATAGGTACTGAGATGTGTGTGTGCATGTGCCTGTACGTGAGCATATGTATATGGGTGTGTTTGTGTGTGTTTGGGTGTGGATGTATACCCTGAAAATATGACTTCAGAGTACTTAAAAGTTCTGTTTGTTTTTAAGAAGTATAAATAAAAGATTGTGTTTATTAGATTGTGCATAACGTATATATTTGCTAAATATATAAAGGTGTAAGTAAAAAAAAAAAAATGTGATTTAAATAGTAGGTAATTAAGCTCTTAACTTTGATAATAATAATATTTCTTGATTATTATCTTCCATTAATAGAGGTAATTAAGCTCTTAACTTTGATAATAATAATATTTCTTGATTATTATCTTCCATCTTTGTTTTCTACTCATAGAATGCTGTGCACAGTGTTTCCTTTGTTTATTGCATTTCAACACACAAATAGTAAATAATGTGGATTGATGTATTTCTTTTTTTTTTTTTTTCCCCAGTTTTGGTAAAGAAAGTTATGTGAATATGAGAAAGTCAGTGGTTGTTAAATATAAACGAAAGACAGATGTTGATGTCCAGTTTATTGTTTTGCATTTATTTTCGCCTCTATATTCCTATTACTAATATCTCTCTATCTCTATGCAGTAGTCCGATTCGATCGCCAGTGATTGACAACGAGATTATCATGATGAACACTCTGTACAAAGAACGCTTTCCTAAGGTAAGGGATTTCTTTCTTTCTTTCTTTCTTTTAGGTGCTAGTAATTTTATTTTCCTTCTCTTTTTGCAATCTTTACATATCTTCAAATTAGAGTTATTTTTATAAAATTGTTCTGTTCATGTTTTTCACAAAGATGTTAGATTATATAATTCAAGTTGAAATTTTAAGATTATGGAAAAAGGAGTCTTGCCTATGTTGATATTGAATATATAGCTTGGATTTTTAACTTAAGGCGTAAAAGTCAAACATCGGGTTCTCCTTGCAGGCCACGCAACAGATGGAGGAGCGATTGAACACCTTCATCGAGGATAACAAGAACCTGGAGGAACAAGGAAGCTCGGACATTGCCCAAGATGCCGTTGCAATTGCACGCTTCGTCCACCACCAGGTCCTGGAAATGGCAAAGGACTGTCTGGAGAAGTCGCAGCAGAAGCTTATCACAAGCCGATATTTTTACGAGCTCTCGGAGAACCTAGAGAAGCTCTTGTGCGAGGTGAGGCATTGGGGTTTGTGTTATGACTTTGTTTTCTCTCCTTTTTTTTACTCTGGGATTGGGCTAGATGGAGTAGATGCAGAAAACCATAAGCATTTTGATAAACGCAGTTCATAATTAACTAATGGATACTATATTGTTACGAGATCTTTTAGCAGAATTGACAATATCTACATGAATATTTTTATAATCTGCATAGTATACTTTCATAAGCTGCTTGACTTGTTTTGTGAAGTGAGAATATTAGTGAGGATATCAAGTACCACATAGCTTCATGGTCCAAATCCGTGGAATGTGAGCCATAGTTCAGGCCAGATAGTGTTTACATAGAAGGCATCTTCAGCCTGGACCTTAAAATGCAGATATCTATATATGATAATGCATTATTTGATGAAAGAGGAAAAAAAAGGAAAATAGCTTAAGTAAAGTTAATCTTGAAATGTGTTCTACACCAGAGTTTAATATCCAGTCATGCTATGCAAATATACACACTTGCTACATTAATTATATTTCCCCTAACTGGAATATCTCCCTTCTCCTGCAACAGACAAGAGACAAGTCCCCAGATGCTGCGGCACACCTGACGTCCCTAATCAAGAAGCTTCTCTTGATTGTGTCAAGGCCGGCCCGACTCTTGGAATGCCTCGAGTTTGACCCTGAAGAGTTCTACCACTTGCTCGAGCAGGCTGAGGGTCAAGCCAGGACCAGCCAGGGCATCAAGACAGACATTCCTCAGTATATTATCACGAAGCTTGGCCTTAACCGAGACCCCTTAGCTGGTAAGTTGGCATTAGGTCTTGCAGCTGTACTCGCAGTTTTTGAGTGTAATTTCAGTTAGGCAATATATAATCTAAGAGTCACAGAATGTGTTTAAATCTTCTGTTTATTATACCCATCTTTGCAATACAGTTGATTTAGGTTGCTTAAGAAATTGAAAATATAGAATGTTGATATCAAGATTGTAACACTGTTGATTAATTGATTATTGAATTACCAAAGACATTATTGCCTGATTATTAAGATTTAAGATATTTATCAACCTCCGTAGAACTGAGCGATGATTTAGCCGGGGACGGAGATGCCGAGGACAGTGCTGGTAGTGGCACAAGCACCTCGGGAGTGAGCGGGGGAGCCCAGCCTAAGGTCCCCAGCTCGGAGTACTCCCCTGAACAGTCTTCCACGCACTCGACTACTCCGCCTTCCAAAAGCACCCCTAAAGAAGAGGACTACGAGAATGTAAAGCTCATCTCAAATGGGGCGTACGGAGCAGTGTATTTAGTGCGCCACAAGTTAAGCAAGGAGCGGTTTGCTATGAAGAAGATCAGCAAGCACAATCTCATGCTGAGGAATCAGGTAGAAATGGATTTATGACTGGTTTTTGTTCTCCTTTGTTTACACTCTTTTCCTTCCCTTCTCTTCTTTTATTATGCAATTTGTCTACTTTGTTTTTAATTTTGTTATATATATATTTAAACACATATTTTGAATATTTTGGTAGAAGCATAGATATACAGCTTGTTAATTTCTTCCTTCTTATTTTTTATTTTTGTTTATTTCAAAGCAAAATGATGTACAGTATTTATATGTTTTAGGCTTGCTATTTGTAACAATGGTAATAGTTTTCTAAACTTAGTATTGCCTCTGCCATTTTTCAGAAAAGTATCATTTGTTTCAGTTCCTAAAGCATTTGCAATAAGAAGTTGTATGTGTTACTTACCATCTCACATGTTTCTTCTTGCAGGTGGAACAGGTATTCAATGAACGTGATATTATGAGCTTCACTGACAACCCCTTTGTGGTGTCAATGATCTGTAGTTTTGAAACCAAGCGGCACCTCTGTCTTGTAATGGAGTATGTCGAAGGGGGAGACTGTGCCACACTGCTGAAGGCTATGGGGCCCTTCCCGCCGGACATGGCACGCTTCTACTTTGCTGAGACAGTTCTGGCTGTTGAATATTTGCATAGGTTTGTTGTTTGAGGTTATTTTTTCATGTAGCAGAATAAGGAGAAAGAAAAAGATAATTTTATTACTGTAACTTCTTTTGCAATTAGAGTGTGAATCCAAAAATTTGATTTGATATACTTTTTGTTTCTGGTATAGCATAAGGGCTCCTGCAAAAGGGGTAATACTAATTTTGTTTTGTGCATTCCAGCTACGGCATTGTACATAGGGATCTTAAACCTGATAACCTGTTGATCACTGCCTTGGGACACATCAAGCTGACTGACTTTGGTCTGAGCAAGATGGGATTGATGTCACTGGCCACCAATTTGTATGAAGGATACATTGACAAAGAGACTCGTCAGTTCTCTGATAAGCAGGTGTTTGGAACACCTGAATATATTGCACCAGAAGTAATTTTGAGGTATGTTTAAAGGGAATATGTACATTTTCTAGTATATAATCTGTTATTGTAGAAATATCCCAGGTTCATTCATCACATAGATCTTTATCAAAAGGTCTTTGAGTATGACTGAAGTTTGTTTATCTTTCATTTCTTTTTCTTTTTTTTTCTGATTGCTTAAATCCACTCTTGAATGTTTTACAGACAAGGATATGGCAAACCTGTTGACTGGTGGGCCATGGGAGTGATTCTGTACGAGTTCCTCATTGGATGCGTCCCCTTCTTCGGTGAAACCCCAGAGGAACTCTTCGCTCACACAGTCAATGATGATATAGAATGGCCGAGTGAGGATGACTGGCCTGTGGCAGAGGATGCTAAGGATCTTATCACAGCCTTGCTTCACCATTCACCACTGGATCGGCTAGGGACAGTGGCAGGTGCCGTGGAAGTCAAGGAACATCCTTTCTTCATCACAATTGACTGGGACTCTCTGCTGAGAATGAAGGCTGAGTTTGTACCTCAGCTCGACCATGAAGAAGATACTAGCTATTTTGACAGTGAGTTGATGTTTTGTGAAGGGAATTTGGGGGGGAAATTTGCTATGATCCGGAATATCAAAAGTAAAAGGATACTGACAGAGATTTAAAAAGTTCAAAATTTTTTATTTATGCCTTCATCTTCTTCCTCTCTCCAGCCCGACTTGACCGGTACAACCACGAGCTGGAAGAAGACAGCGAAGAAGGTGGAGAGCCTGAGGGAGGGACGTTCCCCTCCTTCTCCTCTTACTCACCCAGATACCACAAAATTACTTCCTCACACTCAACAGATACTGGGCAGCTGGATACTAGTTTCCAGGTACATGAATGTTTATTTACATTCTTGTTGAAAATGTGTTTAAAAGAAAAGTATTTTTGAAGTGGTGTGTAATCAAATTGATAATAATAGTGAGATATCCCTTATCAGTTGATGACAGTGAAGAATGACATTAAACTTTATTTATCTACTAACTAAAAGTATTTAAAATTGACAAGCTTGGATATTTTATGTTCTCCACATACTAACCACATATTCACATTCTCAGGGGGAGACCTCGGGAGAAGGAGGAGGCGAGGGTGAAGCAGGACAGAGCAGTGTTTCCCGAGGAGATTCGGGCCACAGTGATCAGTCAGAGTCATCGCGCTCAACGCTAGAGTCGTCAACCAACACTCCTGACACAGAAAATCATGACCTGCCTGCTACTCCTGATGTGTATGTTGTTTTTGGAATGCTGGTTTGCATCATTGCATTGCCTTTTAGAGTAACTCATTTCTGCTGGGTGGCATGTATGTACATGCCATGGAATGCCTGGACTATGTTCCAGGTGGCATGTACATACATGACATGGTGCGCTGATCCCATTTTCTGGGGGCATGTATGGTCATGCCATGCACGCTGTGGTGGCATGACCCAATCCCCCAGCAACGGAGCCCAGGCCATTATGAATATAACCCAGTAGAGAGGGCTTTTGTATTGGGAAACCATCCGGCGGCATTGGGTTAAAGTAGTGTTATATTACTCTTCTAATTGGATTTTTACATATGTTACATCTGTTAAGTCAATATGAACTGTATTCACACTTTACCCCTGTAGCCTTTCGAAGGAAAATTGAGTCTTTGGAGAGAATCATATGCATTTTTATTTTTTTTTATTTATTATTGTTATTATTATTATTATTATTATTATTATTATTATTATTATTTTTATTTTTACAGAACCTCACCTACTGCATTTGACTAATCTTAGACTAATTTTCTTAAACCCTGAAGCATCAAGAGCAAACTGGAGGGTGGTCCTGTCTGCCAGAGCACACCTGAGTCTTCACAAACAGAGAGTGAGGACGTCTCGCCACAAGTCCAGAGGAGACGGAGGTTGCACTCCCACAGTCGCGATTCCCTCCCGCGCTTCTCCATATCTGGGGAGGAAGAGTGGCTCAGGTAGGACGTGGATTTTTGTGTGTATGGGGGATATTGTGTTTTATTTGATATTTTCTCTTTATTTTTTCTTCTATTGCCATTTATGTTCTGAAGTTATAAAGGGATAATGGATCTTAAATTTAAGATCATGGAACTTAAATTTGGAATTACAATGAACAAAATAATAAGACTATTGATAATTAAGATAGCAGGTAAAACAGACAGATTAGTTTGCTTTTCCCCAGCATGGAGGGAGGGAGCTTGCGTGAGCTCTCCCCAGTTGATGAGAAGCCTGGAGCATCAGAGAGACTGCCGATGCCAAGGGTGAACATCCCTCCATCATCACCTGCCTTCAAACATAGGTCGCGACCCGTCATCAAGAGTGCTTCTGCGACTGGATTATCCTTGATGATTCCTTCCGGTTAGTGATCCTTGTTCTAATACTTAGTTGTTGTATGTCAGAGATATACATGTGGAGTAGTCACTTCAATTGTAAATAAAAAAACGGGATTTCCATTAATTACAAGTATGGAAGCACTTTTCCAAGACCTTAGATATAAAAGAGATGTAATGGATATCATTAAAACAACTACTAATCACTTGTAATGTTTTCTCTCAGAAGATTGTATGCCTCAGCCAGTTCAGTCACCTGGAGGATCAAGCACTGCCTCTTCCCGTGACGCCTCACCCTCGAGAGAGATTTCCCCGCTCGTCAACTCTCTCAAACCCCCAACAATCATCCGCCGAGGCCCCCAGGGCTTTGGTTTCACTATCCGAGCCATTAGGGTTTACTTTGGGGATTCAGACTATTACACTGTGCATCATCTTGTCATGGTGAGTTAGCCTCTCAGTGTCTGTTTTCTTTCATCTTTTCTTTTTTACAAATGGTAGGCTCTTTTTACTCTTACAGAATTCTTTACTGATTTTATTTTGTGGTAAGTAAGTAGTTTTTGAAGTTATATTTTGTATAATGTGTAAGTGTGCTGGTGATTTCCAGTGTATGAAGAAGTATGCTGGTAAAGAATTATTTGCTGAAATGAACACTCTTGTTTACAGGATGTTGACCAGCGTAGCCCGGCCTTCGAAGCTGGCCTGCGTCCAGGTGACCTCATCACCCACATCAACAGTGAGCCAATTCAGGGGATGTTCCACACTCAGGTGGTGACACTTCTGATGAGCTCATCAGATCACGTCTCATTAAGGTCCATGCCCCTTGATCAGACTTCGATAAGAACTGGTTAGTAAATAGAAGGCGGTGATGCTTTTGTTCTGCCTACTTCTTCTTTTGTCTTAAGATGAAAATTTAGTGCTTAGAGTCCTTATTTTGGAGGTGTATTTTTCCCTTACATTCTTCTATTTTTCATTGATTTATCTCTGTTCATTCTCAGTTTTTTGCTTTTACCTGTAGGTTTACTCTGTTCCCTTCCCCTCTCCCTACCTCTTTTCCTTTTCAATTCTCCCTCTCCGTTTCCATTTTTTTTCTCCTTCTTCCTCTCCCTTCCCTTCCCTTCCCTTGTGTTTACTTTACTTCACTTCTTGCAGTACCACCCACATTCATAAACTTAAGCTCATATAAAAAAAGAAGAAAAAAACATGTGAAAGCATGTGAGACGATCCTGCTAATATCCAGAAAGTGTCAGAACAGTTGTTGAGATTACCTTTGAACTGTGGTAGGTGGAAGGAAGAGACACCCTGGAGCGTCGAAGCTGGCCAAGCGCTTGCCGGCTCGACACAGGAGGCCCAAGAAAGACTCCGAGAAGAGACGGAAGACCTCACTCCTAAGGAAAGTCTCCAACAAGCGCGTCTCTGCTGAAATTCAACAGGTGAGGAAATTTGTGAATGTTCTTGTATTATGGAGTCAATCAGGCTTTGTTTTGCTCAGATGGCCATACCAAATGTATTCTTGTGGCCAGGGCCGAGAGGAAGTAAAAGCTCAGCTCAGTTTTATATAATATATATATAATATATATATTATATATATAATATATATATATAATATATATATTATATATATTTATATATTATATATATATATATATATATATATATATATATATATATATATATATATATATATATATATATATATATATAATATATATATATATATATATATATATATATATATATATATATATATATATATATATATATATATATATATATATATATATATATATATATACATATATATATATATATATATATATATATATATATATATATATATATAATATATATATATATATATATATATATATATATATATATATATATATATATATGTTATATACTATATATATATATATATATATATATATATATATATATGTATATATATATATATATATATATATATATATATATATATATATATATATATATATATATATATATATATATATATATATATATATATATATATGTTATATACATATATATATATATATATATGTTATATACATATATATATATATATATATATATATATATATATATATATATATATATATATATATATATATATATATATATATATATATATAATATATATATATATATATATATATATATATATATATATATATATATATATATATATATATATATATATATATATATACATATATATATATAATATAAATATAATATAATATAATATAATATTTATATAAAAGTATTTAAAGATTTTGGGAAAATCATGTAGACTTTTTTTTAACATGGAGTAACTTGATTGCTTAGCATTGAGCATGGGTAGTTAGCAGTATCTCTGAAGTAAGTTTCTGATTTCACCAGAATTGTAGACTTCAATTTATTTTGCTGCAGATATTTCTATCTCTTTTTTGGTGACTAACGTTAATGCTCATGTCATGGCTTACGTGTATTTTAACTTTTTTCTACATTTTTTAGGTGTATTTATTATAATTATGATTAGTGTCATGGTCAGTTTTTTTTTTTTTTTTTTTTTCTTTTGGGAGACTATAAATGCAGTAGGTGAGATTATCATCACTGTCACTATCACTGTCACTATTTTTATTACTATCACTGTCATTAATATTATTGATATCTTTATCATCATCATCGTTATTGCTTCTCCTACAGCTGTTATTTTTATTTACTTATTTGTCATTTTTTTTACATAGACTGTTTTGGTGGTTGGTATTGAATTGACATCATCATTAAAGGAAAGAGAAAAAAATAATGTTGAATGAGATTTGCGGATTTCTTGGATATACATTAAAGGAAGAAAAAAAAAATCAGAAAAAAAAAAATTATATTGAGTTTAGAGACATACAGACAGATGGTCAGCCTCTAAAGACAAAATTCATACTACTTTATTTTCTTTAAAGATGTATATGATGATGATAATAATAATAAAAAGAAGAAGAAGAAAATGAAGATGAAGATAAAAAAAAAGAAGAAAATGAAAATGAAGATAAAAAAAAAGAAGAAAAGATTTGAGATCTATAGTTTTTCACCGTGAATGCCAAACCACTAAACATATCAATTTGGAATTTGGTGGAATAAGGGGTTGGTTGACTTAGAGAGCTTCGGGATCTTGGAGGAAAGAAAAGACTAAAGAAAGATTTTACCGATTTTTAATTTTTTTTATTAAGGCAGAGATGTAGGTGAGAGTTCGGTGATTTTAGATTATGGGTTGATAACTTGGCGATGATGAAATGCAATGACGTTATTCAGACATGTTGCATTCAGCCAGTCATCACAAAAAAAATAATAATAATAATTAGATAAAAATAAAAGTAAATAAAAAAAAAAAAAGGAAAGAAAAAAGAACACAAGGGTATAGGAGTGTACAATAGTTAAGTTTCCATTAGTGGGATAGATTTTTATCATTTAATTTGTTTCTTTTGCAGCTGACTACTCCACAGTCGGCTCCTGTTTTATCTCCTGATTTTGTGCCTCAGTTCTCAACCACCTTGGTACGATAATGTGCTTCCTGCAGCAAATAGACCCAATACCTAGGCTGATTTCTTTTTTTTTACGTTGGTTAATCACAGACTTGCAGTATTCTGACATCTCGAGTGGGGTCTAGGCGGCCCTGGAACGGCTCCTTGACCTCCGAGGTGATGTCATGGTAGTGTAGTTCTGTCGAGTCCAGCCGGAAGAAAGAACGTAGCCTTAGACTTGTTGCCTGTGTCCACAATCCTCTTCTTCTGTCCTCTCTCACTTGTCGACTCTGTGCTGTTTACAAATCATGCATAATTTGAATCCAATTAAAAAGAGAGAGGGAGCGAAATAAAAAGAAAATCACTATCGTTCGTACCATAGTTTATCAGCCTTGCAAAGAGAACTATGGGGAAGTGTTGTGGCTCATGGTTGCACCAGAACATTGGCCAAAGCATGATTTGGAAATCTTACAAAGTCTGTGATAGCTTGGTCCCCTTTCCCCCCCTCCCCCACCCTTCTCCTGATATACATGACCTGGTGTCTTACAACTATTAATTAGTTTCATGTGGGGCTCTGCTAGTATTAAAAAAATAATAACAAGAATGGCAGACTGTATTACTGTTGTCCATGCAGTAATAATAATAATTTGTTAGGATACCTGTACCTGTCTATTTGTCAGTTTGGCATAGTTTGTTTTTTTTTCTGATTAAATTTGGTGTGTGATCCTCATGGTATCAAGCTATATGACAATATATATGCTCAAATTGATTCATAAAGATAGTGTTCATCTTGGATAATTATATTAAACATATATATTCCTTATTATGCATCTTGTCCATTATCTGATATTAAACTTCTAAAGCTTACACAAAAGCTGGGAATAATATCAGGTATCATTTGTGTACAGCTAGAATGTTTTAGTACAGTATACACCTGTGTAGTTAGACAGAGAACTAAAATGAAGGTTACCGAACAATACAAATGTCATTGCTGTGTTTTAGAAATAGAGATGCTTATTAAAAAGTAAGTTGAGACATGAAATTTAGTTCTACTTATTGCTAACATGAAAAAGGATTTTTTTTTCTTGATAGGTAATCACAAAGTTCCCAGAGATTCAGATTGTTCAAAAGGAAGTTTGACACATGTTCACATGTACATGCATGTGCTTACATGCACATGCAAGACAGATAAACTTAAACAGACATAAGCTCATGCACATGCATGCATACTTACTCTCACTATCATTTTATGTGCACACACTCTCTCACACTAACATACTTTCTCTCACTTTTTCTTTCCCTTTCCCTCTCACTCAGTCATTTGCACTCACTCTTACTCACTCTTATGCATACTCTTTTTCTCATACGCACGTGTGCTCACCTCAAATCACACACGTGTACACACACATGCACACACACACACACATGCACACATGCACACACGCACACATGACACACACGCACACATGACACACATGCACACATGAACACACACCACACATGACACACACGCACACATGACACACACGCACACATGACACACACACACACACACAACACACACACACACACACACACACACACACACACACACACAATTTATATATATATATATATATATATATATATATATATATATATATATATATATATATATATATATATATATATAGTACATATAGTACATATATATATTAAATATGTGTGTGTGTATGTGTGCAACATACAAGGGTAAACCAAGCACTGTTAGGAAATACAAAACCCTAGATTTTCACTAGGAGAAATAAGTAAAAAAGAAATACAATTTGAGGCTTTCAGTTACTGTTAGAGCTGCAATGGTATAGATTTTCAATTGCTTTTAGATCAGTGTTATATAAAGTGCAAGTGATATATATATATATATATATATATATATATATATATATATATATATATATATATATATATATATATATATATATATATATATATATAATTGTGTAATTATATACATGCAATATAAAATATATATGATATGTATAAACTGTGGTTAGAGTAAGAATCAATGCTGTACCATTCTATAAGCACATCATACATATACTTCTTTCTTGTTTTTGAAAAGCAAACACAAATTGACACAGTTTGATATTGTGCTAATAACACAAAACTTGTATAAATTGCAAAAGCTTACTGATATCACAAGGAAAAATATATGTACAATATGTGTGGGTCTTAGTGTAACAGGTATTAGTAGTGTGGTTCTTCTCTCTGTACATAACATGGCTGCAGTGCCTGTGTGATGGTGTAGTCTTGTTGTATAAAGTATAGTTTTTGTTTTACTCTAGTCTAGATGGTAGTATAGGACAAAAAAAAAAAAAAAAGTATATATATAGGAGAGAAAATGTTATAGAGAAAAACAGTCATTGCTGCTTCGTTGGTACAAGAAAGTATAATTGTGTCACATAAGGAAAAGGAGTGTTTGAAAAACAAGAATACTTCTGCATGTGTCCTTAATCCTCAACAATGACTTAAATAACAGCATGTCCAGTCTTAAAAGGACTGCTACTTAAATTATGTTCAATGTGTTACATTTTTGAAGATATTCCAATTGTTTGCTTCTTATCACTGCCTTTTTTTTTGACATTGCAAAGAGAAGGATGCCTTGACAGTGGTGTAAATTCAATAATGATGCATCACAGAATTTCACTATATTATTATTTTTCATTACTTTTGTTAAATTCCTCCCACAAAAAAGAACATGGAAACAGTTGGTTAAACAATGAAGAATAATGAGTTTTGTTTTTGTTTTTCTTCCCCAACAGCTTGCTGCTTCAGCATCGCCACCAATGTTAACACCAAGCCGCAGCTTCCAGTCATTAAATCGCTCAGTGTCATCTCAGGATAGCATCCCCAACTCCCCAACGCACTGCAAATCCCCACACTCCCCGCCAACGGCCAGGCTTTTCTCTGGGACTGGGGACCAGGTTCAGTCTCCAATCAACTCCTCTGGGTCTTCATCTCCAACCTCTTCTGTGCCCAACTCGCCCGCAGGGTCATCAACACTCCACCAGCGCCCATCGTCCCTGCATGTCATCAACCACAAAGTAACCAACGTGAAAAGCTTCCGGTCCCCCAATAGGCGGAAATCCGTTGGCCATATTCCTTTGTCTCCTCTGGCTCGCACACCATCCCCTTCCCCTTTACCAGCTTCTCCTACAAGGTCCCCATCTCCCCTTATTCATCAGCACAATCATCACCACCACCACCACCATCACCACCATCACTGTCCAGGCTCCTCAAACACTACCCAGAGCTATTCCCCTGGCTCATCCCTCACACCTGGACCAGCCACCAAAAAGTGTTTAGGGAGACCCAAGAGTGCTGAGCCAGGCTCACCACTCTTGCGCAGAGCTCTTTCACCAGATCGACTTCATCCCAGGTCAGCCGAGTCCAAGGGCACACCAACCATTAGCCCACTTGCTACCCCCTCCCCCAAGATGGTAAGTAATCCTCCGAGAGTAACAGTAACTTCTCAGTCCCCTCCAAATTACGATACTCCAAGTGTGGTCAGGTCTGCAGCACCCACACTGCTTACTCAGCGCTTCAGCAGTGCAGTAAGCATGCCTCCTGCATTGCCCACCAGCACACTGGAAGAGGCACCAGAAGAATTGGATTCCCCGGAATGTCCAGAAATGCCACAAACAAATTTTTGTGAAGGCCCCCAGGGAGGCAGAGGATCACTGCCAGGGACCAACAGTGCTGGTTGTGGGGGCATATCAGCTTCAGGGAGTGTCTCCAGCAAAGAGGGTTCTCAGGCAAGCATAACCACACAAAGTAAGCATGGGCCATGTTGTGCAATTGAAAGGAAAGGTAGTAAGGGCCAAGCAGATGCCAAGGAAAAGGCTCGCAGTGATAGCCGCGGACGCAGAGAGTCCAGAGACTTGCGTGGTAGAGAGGAAGAGAGGCGAGATCCTCGAGACTTGCGTGGCCGAGAAGAGGAAAGGCGAGATCCTCGGGACTTGCGCTCCAGAGAAGAGGAAAAACGAGACTGCAGAGACTTCCGCAGCAGAGAGGAAGAGAGCAAAAAAGACTCCAGAGACCAACGCAGTAGAGAAGAAGACAAGAGAGATCCTCGACGCACAGCACAGGAAAAGAGGGAACTGTTTAAGGCTGGGAAGGAAAAAGAGGGCACCTCCTAGGGTTGGCCCTCCGCTGGCCTGCCCACAGCTCCTAGTGGCACTCAGTCGTGCCTCCAACACTTATGCGTGTTCTGGGCAGGACCGCGGCATGCCCTCTGTGAAAAGAAGCAAGGAGACACTTGAAGCCTGTGATGATACCTTTCTCTCTCTCACTTTCTCTCTGGACAAGTCTTAATAAACTAAGGAAGTAGCCAAGCTACTAAAATCATTCCTGGTGATTGTTGGTATGTGTAAAGTTGTGTGGAGTTGTTGTGATGCCACAAGGCATGGTTGTGTTGCTACCATTGTGATATTACAGAGACCATGACAGTCTCAAGCTTGTGTGTCTAATACAGTCAACTATAATTAGACACTCATATATTTTGGTCCCTGTCATTCTGTAAATACTTTATTGTCCTGTCTTCTTTATCTCAGATTTTTACGTTTTTACTTACAACTGAAGTTAAATGTGTTATAACTGCAGATTATGAATATTAATGTACTCATTCATTTGTCATGTTCATGGATTTTTTTCCAATATTGTGTATATTTTGTCCCTCATTGTCATGTTGCTGTTCAACCTCACAGTTGCCATGTTGGAGGTGTCAGGTGGAAATAAGATGATTGGGAAAATATTGTTTCCAATCTGCTCCCCTCAGGTTATAGGAATTACCAAGTAAAAGGTTAATGGCTGTGGTTTTGAAGAAGCTCTTGGTGACATTGTCTTCTGCTTGTGTTTCCTCGCTGTTGAAGGATGTTGTTGTTATCATGTGTACTTAAAATGGAATAGTTTTTTCCCCACTACATACTTGGGTGCCTCACCATATGCATATATGTACATGCATCAAAATGAAATCTTCATTAGATTTTCATACTTTGGTTTACATTGTAAGGCACCATTGGCACATTATGTGTATAGCATTAGTTTTGTGAGGTACTTTAGTGTTACTAAAAAAAAAAAAAACATTAATAGATTTGGGAGATTTTAGCAGGATCTTTCACATTGTGAATACTTGCCCTTGAGCCACTCTTTGTGTGTGTGTGAGGATTAATATTGAGAAAAGCAGTTTACATGTAAAGGTCACCAGAATTTCCCATAGGTGATGTATGAGGTATATGTTATTTTCATGGATACCATGATGCTTCCTTTATGCATTTGTCATCCAAGACCACATTTAGGGTCAGGTAATGTTTGAAGCTTTTATCTAGCAGTAGTATGTCATACAAATGACACCAGTCTCCCATTAGATAGCAATGAGGAAAATTTGTATATTGTGTAGAAACAATTTGTAAAAGAACTCTTATTTTCTGTGTATAGTGTTCCTAGTTTATAAATTATTGATATTTAATGATCATTTTCTGGACTTGTGATTAGTGAGTACAGTACCCCTGCTATCGTCATTCACCAGAGCAATTAAGAGGGACCAGTGGCTCTACAGCTCACTGTTTGGGAGTACAAGAAGTCTTCCCGAAGAAAAAAAACCAGTGAATGGAATCTTACCTTTACTACACAATAGCTCAAAAAAATCACCGAAACAAGGAAATAAAGAAGTGATTGTTTTTTTTTCTGCTCTTGAGAATTATCACTTGAGAGGATGTCCAAAAGTTGCATTGTTTTCTGCCACTGGTCAAAGAGGTAATGCTAGGGACCACTAGTAGGACTAGCTCCAGTACTAGCAGGAGGTACTTGGAAGATCTGTATTATGGCTTTTATTTCTACTTTTTTCCTCTGCTGAGTATCTTGTTAAAGGTATTGATAGTATTCATTGTTCCTGAATTTCCTTCCTTTGAACTTTGAACTCTCAGTATACATATTTATGAAGGAATCATTTTATCGATGTACCATATATGGATGTAGAGTTCAGTTTTCTTGTTAAAATTGACTTTTGGGTATGTCATATTCCTACATTGGGCTTGATATTGATGATTTGTACATTTGTCAGATACTTCAATGTTATTTCCCTAGCAGAACTGAGCTAAGTGTGGGTGGCTAGCAGGAAGGCTTGGCCAAATAGCCTAAAGAAAAAAAATAAAAACTTAGAAAAAAAAAAAAAATACTGAGTTTATTATATTTGTCTGTTTCAATCTCGTGGAATGTATTTTGTTATTATAGCATAATATAACGAGAGGTAGAAGTCACCGAGGTGGCTGTTCCTGCACCCTGGTAAAACACAGCCAATGTGTTATGATTTCAAGGTTGATTTGTTGCCAGAGCCCCTGAGTCACGTCCCAGTCAGTGAGGACAGACTCGAGTACCACTTTCATATCCAACATGGTTGCTACGTCTTCACACATCCCATGTTTTCTAGATATTAATAACTTAGAGAAAATAAACTGTCATAGTATATATGTGTTGTTTTAATAGTTAGGATTCCTTATCATTGAAAATGGCTATGTATTTTTAGTATGATTTATTTTTACATATTAGAAGGACATGTTTTTTTTCCAAATAGTGAATGAATTACAAACACCTCTTGTTGATATAATTATTTTCTGCAAATTTTACTTCAAAACTTTATTGGTAAATAAAAATAAGATATTACTGATAGACCACTGTCAGTTGCAAATATTAAAAACACTACATTCTCTTATACTTAGGAGTCCAAGTATTTTATGAAGTCTGTAATATTTAATTGAAAAATTAAACCATTTCAGACCAACTACACTGAAAGAGACATCGTCAACAGAAATTGTAACATTAATCTCTAACTCTCTGAGTGGACACAAACAAATTATTTCTACCACAGAGTTTTACAATGATTCCTAGTGCATTCCATAGCACTTAAGAAGCTTCCCTCTTACTTTAAATAATATACATAGCGTCCTTATAGTTGCTAAACTTATTTATCTGAGAACAAGCATGGCTATATTCATACTGTGGTTTCAAGAGGTTTGCAACTGCCATAGCTAAAAGAGACATTGGAAGTCTTATGTTGCACAGTCCTAAGCTTAACTTGGCTCCTACACATGAACCCCACCTCCAAATAGATTTCTGTGGATGTTACAACACAACCTGTATTAGATGATTATGAAATATCCAATGCAAACCCAGTAGTGGCAAGAATATAAATGCATTTAATGAGAAATACCATATTTTTATCCACAAAATTTTATAGGTATGAGAAGACCCAAAAGTAAAAGATGTATGAGGTATTGCATTAATTACCATCAACATCAATGATAACCGTCCTGGATGCACAGTGCATGTGGATAATGGTTGGATAAAGAGATACATGGCATAACAGTACAATATAAAACACAATTGTATGACTTAGTAAGACACCTGTAAGAGGAGGTGTAACTGGTTATATATAGAGTAACTATTTCACTAAACTGGAGGCCTAATATTTCAGTAATACAATTTGCCTTAACTAAACTTACAAAAAAAAAAAATAAAAAAAATAAAAATAATAATAATAATTTGATGATGATTGTTCTATAATCTAAGGTGT